TAAAAGTGGAATTGTTGAGCCACATGGCATCGTAGGTACCTTTTCATTGCTGGGACAAAATACTCTTAACAGTCCATGGCAGGGCAGGCAAGAAGGCAGTGAGGCAAAAAGAGCCTTCCTCTCCCTTTTATGCCATCCAGGCTACCAGCCTACCCAGTGTGGGCCTTCCCATCATCGATGTTCAGAGCTGTGCTAAACCAATCAGTAGACTAATTTAGTTATTACATACCTATAACCTATATTCACACACCCTAGATCAGTGGTGTGGTGAGCCTACAGCAAGCATGCTGAGATGGGCTGTCTGTGTCATTGAAAGCTCTAAGAGTTTCATCGTCACTGTCCTAGATTCAGCTACCTCCAAAAGGCCATGCCTATGAGCACATGACACTTTGGGAGAACATCTAGGTACAAGCCATAATGCATGGTAATCCTGTGTTTCATATTTTGAAGAAGTGCTATACTGTTTTCCATAGTGACTGAACATTTTTATTTGCTAAATGTGGGAGCCCTCCAACTGTTTCAACAGAATTTTAATCTGAATAATACATTTGACCTATATTATCATATTTAAACAGAAATTAATAGAAACTGCCTCTATGTTGGAATTTGTGAACATAGTTCCTCAGGTCAGAGTCAGGCAGGAAATATTTGCATTTTTTCTACTATAGTAGAACACAAGCGGTAATAAGCAAGGACTAAAACACTTATACTTTCATCTGTATACACTCAGAAGCTTGATGACTTTCCAAAGGGAAATGTATACATTATCCATTCACTCAGCAAGCTTTATTGGGTACACCCAGAAGAAGTCAGGTAGGAACCGATATGCCCATGCAGAGGTGAGTGTGGTGCGCTCCTAGCCTCCCCTTAGCCACCACATGTTTGCACAACCCAGCTCTTCTGCCTGTCAACTCTGCCACCTGTGGTTCCTACTCATGCCACTCACACAGTCAGATCCTCAGTTGCTGTGTACTCACTCAGCTCCTTGCACTTCAATTTGCATCTCTTCCCAAGGTGGCTATGATGTAGGTGTGTGCTTGTTCAGTTCATTTCTCTAGCCTTGAAACTCCCTGAAGACAAGGACTAAGTCCTTATCAGCCAGCATTTCCTGGCACCTAGTAGAGCACATCATTTTATATTTTTAATATAAAATGAGATCAAAGTGGATATGTGTATAAATTCCTCCCTCAAGAGGTAGTTGTGGAGACAACAAATACATCAATTTCTGCGTAAATAGATAGATATTAATGACACTGGGGAAAGGTGATGCTGGGAAGCTGGAGTGAGGGGTCAGCTCCAGGGTATAACTGCACCCAAAGGTGCCATCCCCGTGTCTCTGCAGATGGGACTGAGAGACTGTAGAGAAGCGAGTGCTCACAGAGTTTCTTCCTCATGGAGTTGTGTAACACGGATGCCCACAGCCAAATACAACCACGCCTGGATGTCAGAGCTGGGGGCTCAATGTTCACTTTACAGATGGGACAGCCAAACTGTGTCACCCAAGTTACACAGTCAGAGGCAGAAGTGAGAATGGCCTTTAGTCTCCTGACAACATCATTTCCCCATATCCACACCGTGTCCAAATATGCTGGGGGTTGGCAAACCCTGGGGAGTTTTCTCTGAACTCCCAGAAGCATTAAAAAATAGTTGGCTGGGAACAAAAGGAATTAAGATATATTATGTACATGTACCAACTCCTCCACAAGGATTGTAAACATTATGTAGTATAAAAATAGACTAATAAATTTTTTCCAAAAAAGTAAAATCTGCACACAACAACAAGAAAGATAGTTGGCTAGAAAGAGCGTGATGAATGCTCAAGGAGAGGGCCGAGGGAGGTGAGGAGCAGGGAGAAGGCTAATCCAGCAAGGTGGTAGGTGGCACCAGTCAGGCCTGCCTGGCCTGCCATGTAGATCGCCACCTGCAACAAAGGCTGTGCTTTAGTTCCCAGCCGTGGCAGTCAAGGACTTCGGGATGAGATTTGCTCACCATGGCCATGGGCTCTGCACAAGTTCCCAGCTATTCTGGGAGCTCCAGGAGCTGTGGCCTGAGTCTCCCAGGTACACTATTCCAGGGGCAGCTATCTGAATCTCAGGGGGGTCCATCCCTAATCCCAGCTGCCTAGGCCTGTAGATTTGTGGAGGCCCTAGGACAAGCAGCCTATATATACCATATTACCATTAATGCTTAGCCTCACTTGGGGGGGGGCGCTTTCCACAAAGGGCTGGGCACCTTTCGGGTACACCTAGGCTGGCAGGGCTGGAGGTCGGGGCTTGCCCCACATGGGCCTGCTCAGGCCATGCTGCACCTGTACCACTTCGTAGCAGGAGGATGAGAAATGGGAGTGCATTTCCTTAGCAAAAAGGCCTCTTTCTACATTCAGGGCTTGTAAACCTGGGGTAACAGGAACAGTATGCCTGTGCTTTTGCATGCATGCACACACGCCCAGTCTGTGGAATTTTCTGGCAGAGAAGGGAGAGGAAACAGGTGTCGATTCTGGATCAGCTGCAGAAACACTTTGCCCATGGCTGCTGTGGAGGTCTCTGTCCATCCTCCTGGGAGAACATGGAAGGTGTGTCTTCCACCAGGAGCCTGTCCTCAGCCTCACTGAAGAAACTCAGGAATGAGGAGGATCTGCCCTGGGAGGCTCAGGAATTCCAAGGGGAGGGAGTCAGGGCAGCCCTGCCTTTGCTTCAACCTTGGGTGGCCAGAGGCTCTTAGGGACCTGCCAGAGCTGTTGGCCAATCTGGTGTCCAAGTCCAAGTCCCAGGGCAGCTCTCATGACCCACAGCAGGTGTCCTTTCCTGCTCTGATCACTAAGCTTCCCCAGCCCCACCTCATACCTGAGCCCTCAGAGGAAGACGTCTCAGCCTGGGATGAGAGGCAGAAGCCTGTGGGAACAGGAAGTCATCTTGCTGCGTCTCCAGGGTTCTCCTGACCCATCCTCACCACCAACACGGGTGCAGGACAGAGACAGCCTGGGCAGCCAGATGAGTCCTGTTTCCCTCAAGGATGTGCCCCTTCCAACTGCGCCTCACTGGCTGGCCTGCCTCCCCTGAGGATCATGTAAACATTTCCAGAAGGATACAGATAAGAAAAAAAAATCTTACATAAACACTGGATGGCCAGGGATCAGGCGATATTATTAGTTTATTAGGGCTTTAAAAATATCCCAAAGCTCAAACAAAGGACAGAAGGAACGTGTTTTCATTGTAACCTCTTTTTCCTACTGGGGTCACTGCTACCATAGACACAGGTTCCTCCAAGTCGTGGTAGCAAAGAGCGTGAGGATCACAGGAGGATGGAGGTATGAGAAGGCTGAGGCCTGACTGTGTGGACTGAGCTGGCCCTGAGGAAGGGCTGGGTGGGGTACCCTGTCTGTAAATTAAGAAAGCTGGGGAATGACACAGAGCAAGAGCTTTTCTTCCCTGTGACCTTGGTGATTCCTTGGTCTGGCTCTGCTTCACACCTGCGTGGCTCTCACATGTGGATACTCAGGAGCTCCAAAGCTGCTTTGTGCTCCTAGGAATACATCAGCCTTCTGGCCACAGCACTGGCTTTGCGTTGTGCTCCTTGCAAAGCTTTTCCTGAGCATTTTGCTTAGCTCACTCTTCCTCACCCATGTAAGTTTTCGTTTAAATATAACCCCATGAAAAAGGCTATTTCTGACCACCCAATTACAGAGTGTGATCCTAGTATTTTTTCCTTTCTTCCTTTTCTTTTTTTAGCCAGATGTCTCAATAAGTTACCAGAATGGTTTTGAACTCTTGAGCTCAAACAATTGTCTTGCCTCAGCTTCCTGAGAAGCTGAGGCTACAGGCTTGTGCCTGATTCATTTTTTATCAGAGCCATCTGTTAACTTACACAATACCCAGTCTGTATTTTACTTGTCTATCTAGTTCCTTTCTGTCCCTTGCCTGGAATACAAAATCAAGAAGTGCTCAAAGATATTTCTTGAATAAATGATGTCTCCAAATCTCCTTTTGGTGGGGGATGAACAGAACCCGAGATTGGGGCAAATTCAGCTCTGGTTCATAGCTTCTATGAAGAAGGGTATTCATGCTAAAATTTATTTCTCCTTTTCCTTGCCTGGGAACTTACTAGTAAGTCACTACTAAGGAATACACCTGCTTCCTTGAGTGCTCACCGGCCAGTCAGGTGGCCTTGCATTCAGTGACTAACAGGTAAAGGACCCCCAGCACAGCTTCCACATTCACAAGTGGTTGTACAGGAACAGATCTCAGGCCCTACCCCCAGTTTCTGATTCAGTACATTTGGGATAGAGCCCAAGAACATGCATGCATCTTTGACAAGTTCACAAATAATGTTAATGCCTCTGGCCCAGGACCACACTTCAAGAAGCAGTGTCACAGACGCTGGAGTCACCAGATACTGATAATCAAGAGTCTGAACAGAAAAGAAGCAAAGCTTCTAAAATTGCAGGATGTGGCAATGTTCAGAGAGGAGAATTATTTGTAGACATCTCAGCCCCTGCTGTCTACCAGGCAAGACTAATAGCAGCCCACTGGCCAGATGGTCCATCACCAAGCTCAGTAATACCTTTATTTTGTAAAAGCCAACACACCCAGCTAAGCTCAATGAGAAATATTGTCCCAAGAGAATTACCAATCATCTTAGTTTTCTTGGATTGAGGGATGCTTGTGTCTTTCCCAGATTCATGTGCTGATCCCTTGACTCCCATATCTCAATAGCATTAGGAGGTCGAGCCTTTGGGAGGTTCTTAGGACTAGATTAGGCTAAAAGGTTAGGACTGACCCCCAGTAAAGTGGCTGGTGCCCTTCTAGGAATAACAAGACAGACAGATTACTTACTCTTGCCACAGAAGGGCCAAGCTGATTAAGACAAGATGTTTCCCAGCACATGAGTGAAGTTTTTGCCTCTAAAGTCCAGGAAAGTCTCCAATATCCTGGGATGGCTTGGTCACCTGAGCCCCAAGTCTCTTTGTCTCCAATAATGACAGTGTAGAAGAATATCTCTGGTATAATGTTTATTTAAATAGCAATTTTAAAAAGGCTTTATACAAATCATATAAACACAGTTTGACATTGTTATTTATTTTTTACATTGAAGAATCACAGTAAAAGCTCTCAAGTTCCCGTGATCTGGCTCAGCCAGCAAATGGTTGAATACCTTTAACTTCAAACCCTGGAAAAGTTAACTTTCTGCATGAGTTTAACTTTTTCCCTTGTTTCCTTTTCTGTCATTCATGCTCATTCCTTGGACCCTTATTCTTGGCAATTCCCCAACCCCACCAAAGAGAGACAGCAACCGTGTGGCCCTGTTTGACTGCCTGGTCCCAGAGAGCGTGGAGGTAATATGTCATTGAATACAAGGCAAAAAGGAGATCAGTACTGTGAGTTGAGTTTTGCAAAGGGAACAATTCAAGGAGACAGGTCAGCTTGCCTACCTGCAGACAAAGATAATACATACACCAAGGCATCCCCTGACCAAGTCAGAAGGGACCCAGCCTCCAGCCTCAGTGAGGTATCTACCTACAGTGAGGACCCTGCTCTGTTCAGTACTCAGGGCTCACTAAGGGCCTCAAATCAGCCAGTGGTGAATACAGATGTAGGACTTTTGGAAGGATGCAGGCTGGGTTGTAATAACTTAGAGGTGAATTTCAGGCCTGAGACAGGGGTGGTCTTTGGGGAATTATAGTAAAATGGCCCACTGAGCATGGGAGGGCCAGGACACCCCCATGGGGTTTGGAACTTCTCTTCTGGAAATTTCTGGAACTTCCTAGCTTTCTGAACACCAAGTTGTGTAGGAGGGTGAAGAGCAGGGCGAGCTCATTAAAACTTGCTTCTACTGCATGCCCAGTTCAAAGGGCATCTAACACTAAGCTCTTGCAACTTGACGGCTTTACTTTTCACCTCTAACTATCACTGTGTGAATGAGTGCTGAGATCAGAGGTCACACTTGGGTCCTAGGTCAAAGTCACACAACACCACCACTGAGTCCCACGTGACCATTCACATACACAGTAGATACAGAGAACTCAAAGGCGCGCAAAGACACACATGTGAATAAATAGCTGTCAGTATGAATTCTCCTTCTCTGCATACGAAACACTGTGACATTACCATTTGAACTAGCATTTTCATAAGTTAACATTTAAAGAAACTAGCCAGTGCCATTCACCTTTTCCCTTTCACCTGGGTGTGAGACAAATGGAATTGTAGGTGACCATAGCAGCAAAAATGGTCTGACAGTTTGCCATTGATATGCAACAGGCTGGACAACCCGCTTGGATTTCTAGCATGCAGGCAATCCTTAAGCATTAATACAAAATAAAATTTGGATCTTGAAGTGGACAATCTTATCCCTCACATGGTTTCATTCTATTCCCAGTGCCTCCTTTTCTGGAGTAGTTGAGAGTCATCTAGGGCTAAGACTACCTGTTGGGTAGCAGGGCTCATTCCATTAATAGGATCAGCGGTGAGTTGAGGGAACTGAGAATGGAGCCATTGAAGTCAGGGAAGGAGGAAATGCCTTAACTTTTAGGATATTCATGATTTCTACCCAGAGAGAAAGTATATATTTTTTTATTTTTTTCAAGGCACTTAATAAAAAACACATAAATTAATGTGTGTGTGTGTGTGTGTGTGTGTGTGTGTGTGTGTGTTGGGAGTACATATATGAATAAGAATCTAAGCCTCTCTGGGGCTGAAGCAGTATAGTGAGCTTTTCACTCCACAGTATTACAGACTTCTAGGCAGAATCAGCGATCACACAACTGTGCCTTGATTATCCCAGAGGAATGGCATGCTGGCTGTCACCCAAAGGAGAAATCAGCATGTCTATATTCTACTGCTCAGCCTTTGCCAGCACAGGATTGTAACACTTGGGCATCTCTTCTATCCTTTTCCAGCTGTTCTTCATATCCTTCTTCAGATGTTCTTTTTACCAACTAGCACATCCCACTGATGGAGAAAACACATCAAGAACCTGTCTTTTCTCACCTGCTTCTGACACTGTCAACCCCTCTATTTCCTGGGACTCAGAAACCTAAAAATGTGTGTGTATGAGAGTGTGTAAGTGTGTGCTGCATGCACATGTTAATACGCATAGACTTTAGAAGAACAAGGAGGAGGGAAAACAAAAGGCAAACCACCAGCAGAGGCTCCACAAGGGAAACCCCCAGCTACAAGCTCTGGGTCTAGATTTAATGAATGGCTCCTATTCACAAAGCATTTTAAGGCTTGTCCGCTTTTAACGTGGAGGTGCGTCTATGGGTTTTGAAGTGTGAAGTTTCCTTTCTTGTTTCTCTTAATTCTCTATATAAGAAAGAGCTGCTCAAGCTGACCCTAAAATGGCAAATTTCCCCTGGATAAAAAAAGTTAAAGGCAACAACATCCTACTTAGATGCTAGGACTGGAAATGGCAGCTTGTCAGGGTGGCCGGCAGAATGCACACCACAGCAAATCCCTTCAATCCTAAGACCATCAGAGGAAGGGATAAGCCGGATGGCCTTCTTAAAGTTTTACTTCTAAAGATGGAAAGGCTGAAAAGACCCTTTGCTTTTCAAGTGTTGATTAGAAAGAGAAAGCAGAGAACATCCATTGATCACTGCCCCTCTTTTCTGTGGGAGAAGTTATTCTTCTGCCTCTTTGAGTTGCTCACAGACCAAAGAAATGAAATGTAATTAATAACAACCTCACAAACAAAATAGAATTGTGACGATGAAGAGATGGGCTCCTGTCTTTGTCCCAGCTGAGAACGTGGCCCTGTTTTGCAGTGACTCAGCCATTGCAGTCCTCGGCGGATTATGATTCCCTCCATGGCTGCATCTCTCTTTCTCCATCAATTCACCTGTCTGACCTGTCCATACCTTCAGTATTCTGGATCAGTTTGATCAAGATTATGGCATTCAGTTTCCAAAGTGGGAAAAATGTAATCTTCACCAGCCCCTCTTGCTGGAATGAAACGTCAAGCATGATTCAGGTGCAATCTGTCACGCCTCCGAGCAGCACTTCTGGTGGTTCATCTTGACCTTGTGCTTGAGGCCATCATAGAGCTCGAAGTTGTAGTTCTCCAGTGTGGTGCAGCTGCGGGAGCTGAGGCCGGAGTAGGAACAGGTGCAGTATAGCAGGAGTCCTGCACAGGTGGCCCCCAGGAGGACCCCCAGTGAGCTCATGGCAATGATGGTGATGAGAATGGGGTCCAGCGTATAGAGCCAGCTCTTCTCTTTGTCTGCTGAGGGGTCTCCAGCCCCTGAGGTTGGGGATGAAGAGTTGCTCCAGTCCACCTCATACTCATCTATGGCAGAAAACATAAGAGTTTTCATGCATTGCTTATTTCTGGAGGAAATGACTGAGGCTCCCAGCCTGTGGCATAGGAGCAAGTAGTAGGAACCCAGGAAGTAGCCTGTCTGGGCTCCAAGTCCAGCCTTGCTATGTCCTAGCAGTGTCATTTTGAGCAAGTTAAGTCTGCCTCTGTTCTCCTATCTGTAAGAAGGGGTATCAATAAACTTGACATCATTATCTTATTAGGATACTTAAGTGAACTGTTGGTCCACTGCTTGGTGCATGGCAGATTATAAGTATTAAATGCTCAGCATTTTAGTAATTTGGCTTACGTTAGGTGGGTGATCACAGATTGCATCTGTGAAGCTGAGGATCAAACCCAGGGCCTGGCACATATTAGGCAAGCATGTTACCAGTGGATTATATCTCATTGGTTAGCTAACAATGCTAGGGGATTGGTAGCTAGATTATAACAGAACCTTCAGGTATCTCTGGAACACGTGATGGGTGGCCTAGATTCCAGGCATCCTTCTTTATTTATCCCTTATTCAAAGCACTCCCAACTGCTTTGAATTAAGTTAAAGTATAGGCTGGGACTATTTTTGCATGGTAAACTTCCTGAGTCAGCATTCCTGACCATACAAATAGCAGACTTTTTCAAGCCAGGAGACTTCCTTTGGCAAACAAACCTTATTCTTTGAGGTTAGGCTGCCCTCCCATGCGTGCCATCCCCAATACTACCTGAGAATGTCAAATGACTGCACAGCAGGGTCTTTGCAGAAGTAATCATATTAAAATGAGGTTATAAGTGTCAGCTCTCATCCAATAGGACTGTTGCCCTCATTAAAAGGTAAGATTTAGACCTGAACATGCCTGGAAGGATGTATTGTGAACATGAAAATGGCCATCTACCAGCCTGAGGGAGGCTTCAAACAGACCCTTTCCTCTTTGCCCCCTGAAGGAACCAGTGTGTTCACACCTTGATCATGGATTTCTAGCCTCCAGAGTCTTGAGAATATTCAGACTGGTGGCTGGAATTACTAAGTTTGTGGTACTGCTACAGAGGTCCTAGAAAACTAACGTCCTTACATTTCCATAGGGTATGACCAAGTCATGGCTGGGCCCAGGGCCCAGGTCCTTTGGACTTCCTAAGAGGCCCTTGAAGAAGGCAGGGTGATACGCTCATGTTCTCAGTGGGAGAGGAAACTGAGGCTTAAAGAAACAGGTGATTCATGTATGGCACAGGGTAAGCAGGCAGTTAAGGTAGCAGGCTTTCTAGATCCTGACTCTACATTGTTTTGTTTCAACAAGAGCTTCTGCAGCTTGATCTGTCACAGCCTCCCCATGAAGGTCAGTTGCACACTCTTGCCCATAAAAGGAGAGGTGGACTGGGTTTGGCAAGGAAAGCCTGCAGCCCATTAACAAGGTACTGTTTGGGTCTGTCACTCTGGTTTCTATAACTACATTTGAAGACTTTGATTAAAGTCAGGTTAAAAGCAGCTGGTCTATAAACTGCTCCTCTTGAAAGCATCAGTCTTACTCTGAAGTTGTGCTCTGAGTAGAATTTTGCTGGTGAGCCTTGTGGACAAATGCTGGCACTCAGGGAAGCCCAGGGAGACCTGTGCTCATTTGAAAGCATAGGAGAAATTGCATCTGTGCTCCAGTAAGGCAGCTGTTTCAGCCTCCTGAGGTTTGTGCACTTGAAGTGCAGGAACAGAGCTTGGAATAAACATGAAAATAGGAGATGTGCAGTGTGAACAAAGATAACCAAGTCTTTAATAAGCAAGATTTTGTAGTCTTGGATAGCAGGACCAAGGGACCAAGCTGGGGAATCATATACCATAGCTGCCTGGGAGAGTATGCACACCCACACTCATTCACTAAGGACTGTTTTGGGAGGAGGTCACAGGCAGGGTTCAGTTGGTGACGGGTACACAGGAACTTGGTTTTCACTTCTAAGCTTTATCCAGATTTGGAGTCCACTGATGTAGAAAGTTACTCACAATAGGAGACCTGTTTCAGATTAGGCAGAGGGCACTCAACAAACTTTCTCCATCTCTACATTTAACCTTGGCAAAACAATTGACGATCTATTTCTTCATTCTTCTCTGGACTCTTTCCATTTCTGTTTCTGATTGATAGTCTAAATTCTGGCTCACCAATATTCTGGGCATCCTTTTTGCTGATATCTTCATAACCAAAGTTCAATTCCATGACTACCTGCTAAATCACAGCAATACTCACCATCAATTTCATCTTCATAGCCTTCTCTTCCATGTATTTCTGGAATGTTCACTGTAAGAAAAACAAACAAACCAAGTTGTAACAAGTTATATCATTATAACTAAAAGGCAAGGGTACAACCTTTTAAAGCGTGACTCCCCGTTATGAGAGATATGCAAAAGAAGCACCTCCATATCTACATCAGCTAGTTATGCATTAGTGAATCATTTCTCCTGCACACTGTCTTTAGTTCCAACAACTGGAAAAACAAGTAACAAGAAAGGTCAGGTTTTAGTGCCAAATAAACTCTAACATGTATATCTTTAAAATAATTGTCAATCATTACTGATATAGGCTTGGGTTTATCTAAGGCACCCTATATGGCATCTTCTAATTTTTTCTTTTTGGGTGGGGTAACAGGGATCGAACTCAGGACCTTGTGCTTGCCAGACAGGTGCTTAAGTCACTGAGCTATCTTTCCAGCCCCATGGCATCGTGTATGTGGCATCTTCTTCATCGGCTGCCATCATGATACTCACGGCATCCCTTCATGTGCACACATCTAACTGGACATAAAGGATTAAAAACTTTTCTCTTCTGGATTTCAAATAAATGCATGCTAACTTAGGTAAGTCGTGTTTCATCATGCTAAGTAGAACTCGAAAGAATATCCCAAAGGCCGTGCCCCTTCATATATCTGTGTTAAGATCTCTCTACTCCCCCTACCACCCAGTCCATTTTTCCTAGTGATTTTCTTTGGAGTTTAGAATAGCTCAAACATGGCCATCCACTCTGATAAGCCCAGAAATGAGTAGAGCTAAGTTAATTTACTCTGAATTTCACCCCCTGTATCATCACTGCCTATCTTTTGCTTCTTTTAATTTTTTTTTGCGGTACCGGGGATTGAACTCAGGACCTTGCGCTTGCCACACAAGTGCTTATTCTACTGAGCTATCTCTCCGTCCCTAAGATAATTTTTTGAGGGGGGAATAATATAGGTTTTTCTATTCACAATACTGTCCATACTACAGAAATCAGAGCCAAGAAATTCACTGTCAAAAATGATAAAATAGTGAAAAAGATAGTCAGATATATTAAGAGCAGGGTCTTATCATTTCTTTTTGTTTCTCAAGGTGATTATGACCTTTCAGACTGTCAGCTCACGATAGTCCCAGAGAATATACATGGCCCTTTAGGGGTTCTCTTCAACCCAAGTCTATGTACAGGTTTGGAGACAGCACTTAAAATCCCCAACAGTGAAAGGGACAGCGAGAGCAAGCAATGAACTTCAGTCCACTCTGAGCATCTTGTTTCTTGGTATGATGCTTCCAGGAAGTTCTACCTGGTCATGAACAGAACTAGGATTGATTCATCACTATTCCACTTCAGATTCAGCCTTTTTCTGAAGCTGATGGTTTAAATCATAGTAGAGGAATTCTTTATTCCTGGTGAAAGGTGAAGTGCTAAAGCCCATTCTCATCCTCTCAGCCTCTAATAAGGGATGCACAGAACCACTTGCCAAGGTCTCGTTTGAAAAGATCAATGCCGTGTGGAACCAGTCCTCCATAAATCCAGCCCATTTCTGGCATGTTTATGGCACAGCAACTGGCATCTGTAGCTCATGCCTGCTTTCCCACCTCTGACCCATCTCCCACATTATTCTCCAGGCTCCTCAAAAGCAGGCTGTTTCTTTGGTATGAAGTCTTACATGTTACTCAACAAGAAAGGAAGGTGATGTCTGTCATAGGGATCAATTAAGCTTGTGAAAGATTTTTATGAAAAAAAAAGATGGGAGAAAACAGTCACATTTCTGACAATTAGCCATTTTGACAGGATGCTCTTGTGTAACATCCTCATGGTGAAAAGACAGACAACATTGGATAAGAATATGTGCAACAAACTCAAACAAGAATTGCAAGGCTCCTGCCATTGACTTTTAAGCCAGTTCCTGTTCTTCCTTTTAGGGATTTGGTCTCTGCCAAGGATGTGACAAGTTCTTGAAGGTTAAGAATGCCATCTCATATCCTCCTAGAAGAAGGCTGAGGACACTATTGATCCTGGGCTGGAAAGGGATGGATGTAGCACTGATCTTGAAGGGAGAAGTATAAATGGGTGGTAATGACTGCAAGAACATTTTATCCCAGGAGAACACAGTCTCTTGTTTCTGGAAGCAGAGGACTAGATGAGATGACTTCCAAGAATTGGCCCATTTTTCAGTTCTTATGGAATCAAAGGCTCACATGCAGCTGAGATTTCTGCACCTGGAGAATCAAAGGCCACTTAAGGTGAGGAAGAACACTTCAACGGCTTGACTTGGCTTTTTCTGTGTAATCATTGCTCCCAAGAGTTTGGGTGAGTGGGAAAGGGTTGGAAAAGGATAAGTTAATCAACATTTTCAAAAGCGCATCTGTTCACCAAGTCTTAAAGCAAGAATGGCACATTGGGGAAAACCAAAATAAAGGGAACATTTGTACAAAAAGCAATTTACTTTGGTAGCGATTTTCTCTAGTTCCCTTGCTCATATTCTTGATATCTGTGTTTGATTAAGAGCTTTCTCTCTCAAAAGCCTCCTTGCCCTTCATGGGCCACTTTCCTTTTCTGCTGAGCCCAGTAGATAAACAGCCTGTGTCTCCAGGATGCTGGCAGGAAGGACTGTGGATCTTCCTGGGTCCTATAGGTCTAGCAAAGAAAAGGCGAAGTGAGACAGGGCGGTGGCCAAGAGGAAATCTGGGGGTGTGGAGAAGAATAGTAGGAAGGATGAACTAGGAGCTCAAGGCAGGGTATGAAGCAGCCCCTCCTGCAACAAGGAAATGGCAGCCCCAGGATGCCCACTGGGCAGGAAGTGAAAAGATCAGGATGTAGCAGGAGAAAGGAACAGTGACTTAGAATTTTGTTTAAATAGGGGAAAGCATAGACAAGACCTTCCAAGACGCTGTTTCAGTGGGTGAGTATGTTTGTGAGGATGGGGTGTGCTAAGCAGAGTAGAGTGGGCTATATACCTTTACAAGCACTGGGGAGGGGGGTCGGGAGGAGCAGCTCTTACCACCCATATGATCTCTGCTTTAAATCTTTGTGCCCATAGGACTGCATTTCCTTCTAGTGTGGGTTCGCTCTTAGGCCAGCCTAGCTCCATAGCTCTAGTGCTGGCTCAGACACTGTTTTAGGGCCAAATCTGCATTCAAGTTCTCAGATGGGCAGGACACTGTCACTATCACAGACCATATCATCACTTCTCCATTCCAACAGAAATGCCGGGTCTGCTCTGACTCAGACCCTAGTAGGCTAAATGTGTACACTATTGTTTGCCTGCATCACTGGCTCATCACTTTGGTGGGAACTCACAGGGCTTTTGAAGAATGTGAAAATGCCATACTCTCAAATCTGGGACATCATGTTTTCCATAATAGGCATCACCCAAGAAAACAAGGCTAAATGATATAGTCTTTCAAAGAGCAGTCTCCACCATCAATGAATGAACCAATCAACCAACCCACCAGCCATGACTCCTGAAGAGGGTTTCCTAGGTGCTCAGGCACCACACTGAAGGCTTGGGGAAACAAAGATGTATAGGGTCAGACATCCACCACCAAGGCCCTTCGGAGTGATTGGGAGCAAAGACTCAAGACTTTAATTTTTTTATACCCAAAGAGCATAAAAGAGAATGAGGGACTACAGAGGAGATTCTGTGAACTAGGCAAAAGCCACTGTTGGCAGAGCACATGGGGGAGCTGGATACTTCAGAATGAAGGGAATTCCATCTTTTATCTGCCTGATGGATGAGATGCCTTTCAGTGTGGTACCCAAACCTTTACACCAATGCATGGGTCTCCTAGGCTTGGGCTTGTATTCACTGGTGTCAGATCCACCACGGAATTTAAAGAGTTTTTTTGCTTGACCACATATCTTGCACTCTGCATATCTTATCCACATGAATGTCAGAGCTCTGCATTCCTCCTCCTTTACCAGTTGCTGGAGGCCAGAACACCAAGAGGAAGAGATGAAGTGGGATAACTAGAAGGGAGCTGGATGGGGTTTGAGAAATTGAGTGGGTAAAGTAGCTCTACCTAAAAACAAAAATAACTCAGTTCAACCTTGGCCATTGTCGCATGGATATAAAACTTTTAAGTGGAAGAGTCTTCTTTTCTCCAACATATTCCTTCTTTTGCATGTTAAAGAGACAGAGTAGTGCAAGGCACACTGGCTGGCTATTAGAACATTCACAAACTGTTCTAAAACCTTCCACCCTAGCAGACTCAAGCATTCTCCAGAGTCCAAAGCAGTGGCCCAAAAGGGGAGCAGCCAGGCCCAGTCACAAGTGGAACCTCCTCTACTGAACAGTATTCTTCCTCAGGGGCCTGGACCTCTGCCTGCTGCAGCGAGACCACACATGTGTTAGGTAGGGAACACCCATGACACTCCCTCCTTAGCTGGGAAATCCCCACTGCTCCAGAAAGAATGGACTCTCAGTCCTTCCTGTGACCTCCCCCAGCACTATTTACCCTTCCTCTCACCCTTATTTCTGCCTTCTTCTAAATTAGGGTCCTTTGGGGTTAGCGATCCTGCACTGGTTTGTTTTTTTGCAGTTTCTCATGGAAAATTCACAACCTTCACTTTTGCCCCTAGTTATGCTGTGGTCTATTGTGAATGCATTGGCCTTGACAGTGCTCTATTTGCTTTCTGCATTATAAAAGGAGCTTCACAGGACAGCCAGGGGACTGAGCCCTGTACTCCAAACCACTGGCTGCTCTAAGATGAATAACTTAAAACCATTTGTCCCTGGGTCACTTGTACGCAGATCATTTCAGGACGCTGACAGGCCTTCATTTTCTTTTAAGGGTCCTTTTCATGCCAACTGAGTGGTGGATTAAAAGGCCAGGTTTGCCATCAAAAATGTGTAGCAGAGAAACTTGCAAGATTGCTCAGTGTGTCACTCTATACCTGAAGGGAACTGACGGAGACCTGCAGGAGCATTAGACTAGGAGCAGGTGTCACCTTCTTGTCTTGGATATGCCCCAGCATGAGGGCCTCCACAAGCCCCAGAACTCCGGAGTCTCAGGGTGCTTCTCTATAAA